CACAGAATAAACTGTTCTAAAGAATATTGTTTCTTTTTCCCTCACAACCWTTCATGAACATTTTAAAAGTTAGAAATCCTTCCAAAAACTATATATGGTCTAGTCTTCTTAAAGAGGACAGAGGAAAATGCAAGAACTATTAGAAGTCAGGAGCAGTAGTGCACAGCTGTAATCTCAGCTACTAGTGAGAYCTAAGGCCACAGGATCATGGATTCAAGCCCAGCTTGGCCAACAAAGCAAGACCTCATTTCAAAACAAAACAGAAAATACTTGGACACACTGCAACTACCAGATCATATCACTTTCTCTTTATGAACTTAGTTTTTCCATCCCTCTCATCTAAAAATAGTTAGACTAAATGATTTTATTTGGCAAATCAGAGGCTTTCCTGTATACTAYATGGTTTCAGCTGTGTTACYAAAAGGTATTGTTGCTCTAAGGAAKGGACAAAGTATAATTATACTATCATTCAAGCCAAGACTATTCCATCAACCTTTTTTTAGCTTGTTCTKCTATATAAGCCTTTCCCCAATCAAGCCATACCCCACAATTCCTCCAATATTAATCTTTCTGAAAGGTAACTATGACCATGACACTTTTATGTAAAAACCTTTATTAYTTTTGATGTCTAAAAGGTAAAATCCAAGTTCCAAAGGAAGACACTCAAAGCCTTTTTACGATCTGACTACAAGCTACCTCTACAGTCAATTTCATATTCTGTGAGCATTTTTCCTACATCCCAGGCTAAATTATCCCCCTTTTTCTCAAGGCACATTCACATACTTCAATACCCTGTGAGTTTGCAAATGCCATTCTCTACAATGCCTAAATCTCTTTAATCTCTTCATCCTTAAAACCTAGATCAAATGTCATCTCCTCTAACAGATTTTTATTTATGCCCATGGCCTCCTGAACCAATCCCTTTTCTGTGCTCTCACAGCACCTTGCTATGGCTCTATCACAGTCTAACATCATAAACTGACCTACCAACATATTAACTTTATTTCACATTTATATTCTTTAACCAATATACTCTGGGATCTTTATCATTATTTATAATATGTACATAATTACTTTTTTAAATGTTGAAGAAATGGTAACTGAATAAATTACTGTACACAGTACTTTAAGTTATGACTTTTCTTTATGAACATAAAACACTAAGTTTTAGATATAGCTATATGAAACATACCTCTGTTGTTGGGTAGCAAYATGGAAGGAATAAAGTGAGTTTTGCGAGCTGGAAAGCAGAGCATTCAAAAATTTTTGTGCCCACAAGGTGAACACCTGCAATCCCAGCTATCTGGGAGATTGAGGCACAAGAATAGAAAGTTTAAAGCCAAGCCAGATGTGGTGGCACCCACCTATTATCCTAGGAACTCAAGATACTAACAAGAGGATCACAAGTTGGAGGCCAGCCCCAGCAACTAATAAGACTGCCTCAGAACTTAAAAAAAAAAAAAAAAAAAAAAAAAAAAAAAGTGGGTCAGGGAGCTGGGGATGTAGCTCAGTAGTAGCTAAAAAAAAAAAAAAAAAAAAAAAAACCTTTATATTTGCTCAGTGATGGGCTAATACAGAAGTAGCGTACTACAGTAAATAAAGAATGATCATTGGAACAAGAAAATTTGGTTTCAAATTAAGGTCACTAGTTGAGTGTCCTTGGTAAATCTCTTAATCTCATGACAATTTCTCTACCTATAAAGATGATAATAAAAGTCACCAACTAAAGTAAGGTCTCAAATTCAGTAATCCCTTAACTCTCTAGTGAGTTTCCCTACCTGTTAAAGAGGATTTAAAGAAGAGGATAAACTCAGAGCTGTAWGGTTTAAATAAGGATAAAACATGAAAGAATTGTTTACTAAAAGCTGTGGTCAAAGGTAAACAATTTTCTTTTTGGAGGGGGAGGTAGTAGAGACTGAACCCAGGGGTGTTCTACTTGTTCTACCACGAAGCTACATCATTAGGCTTTTCTATTTTTTTATTTTGAGACAGGGCCTCATTTACTTGCCAACACTGGCCTCAAACTTACAATCCTTCTGCCTTAGCTTCTTCAATCACTGGGATTYACAGGTGTGATTTATACTACCATGTCCAGATACAAACTGTTTTCATAAGCATTAGTAATTAAGGAAAATGTGAATACCGCAGGCAGGAGGAAGSTATGGAGAGGGATGCTAACAGGTAATAAGTCAGCCTCCCTCTAGGCACAGTAGCACACATGATGAGCTACTGGGAAGGCTGAGGCAGAAGGACTACAACTTGCCAGTCTAGGCAACTTAGCAAAACCCATCTCAAATTTTTTTTAAACTTTTTTTTGGGGGGGTAAATAGACACAATATCCTTATTTTATTTTTATTTATTTTTTTTATGTAGTGCTGAGGATAGAACCCAGAACCTCCTCATATGTGCTAGGCAAGTGCTCTACCACTGAGCTACAAGCCCAGCCACCATCTCAAAATTTTTTTAAAAGGGCTGGGACATAACTCAGTGGAAGGTACTTGCTTAGCATGTGCAAGACCCAGGTTCATTCCCYAGTACAAAGAATTTTAAAAWATCAGGTTCYCWCCAGCTCATGCTGATCATCAAAWTTCCAACATCAACTTATTCTGAAAAAAATAGTTTCTATTCCCAGGATAACAGTGAAAAAATTTCAAGCAGAAAAAAAAATTTTTTGAGAGGCAGAGAATATCCATGTATTCATAAAACACTGAAATCTACTGTGTGCCCAGCACTGGCACTCAGCGTTCCAAGTATTACTGTCGTAAGTAAATCCCTACACTAACTAGAGTACGTGTTTTCCTAAGGTAAATACACAGGAAAAGTCAGCATTTCTTACTTAAACGGAATTGTAGAGATAGCTCTACACTCACAGGAGAATGTTAACTATTCAACTCCAATTACATGGAACTTGTAATATTAACAGTATGCAGAGATTTAATCTAAGAATATACTTACCAACTAAAAAAAAAAAAATACTCTTGACTAGAATACAAAATCACGAGAATTTTTTTTTTTCTTTTAATGAAACATACTTACCCAAGGCAGGGTATCCAAGGTAAAATCGATCTGCTCCCAACCATCCAAGAAAAAGAGATAATGCAACTGCCACTTTGTATGAATAGCCATTTCTGTACAGAATTAAAACTTGAGTGTCATATTCATGTTTCCAACATATGAAAAWTTTTAAAAACCAAGCTGTAAATTACTAATTATTTTTAAATGGCTCATTCATTCATTCCATTAATGCTTTTTGAGGTGCCTTCGGTATGCTAAGCACTACTTTAAGCTACTAAGATGCATTAATGAATAAAAGCAACAAAGATCCCTGTTTCTGAGGAGCTTCCATTTTAGTTGCAGAAAGCAAAAGGCAAATATATTTTAAAAGAAATCATAKAGTTCATTAGAAAGTCATAAATATTATGGAAAAAAAAAAGTAGTAGTAATAGTAGTAGAACAGCATGGTTAGGGAATCCAGAATGCCAGAGGCCACTTAAATGGGGTAAATAGGGTCATAAGGTAAGCCTCATTGAGAAGGTAATGTCTTTGYAAAGACCTGAGGGAAGTAAATGAATTAAGCCATGCTAGGCCTCTGAGAAAAGAGTGTCTGAAGCAAAAGAAACAGCTGGTACAAAGACAGCACACCTTGTAAGTTTGAGGCCAGTATAACAGGAGCAGAATGAGAAAAGCACAGACTATTACAAGATGAGGTCAGAGCRGTAATGGGGAGTAAAGGAAACCCATCATGCCCTGTACACCACTTACAAATACTCTTTTGAGTTTTACTCTGGTGGAAATAGGAAGCTACTACAGGATTTCAAGTAAAGGTGTAACATGATCTGATTTAAATTTTTATTAAAATAATCACTCTGGCTGYTATGTTGAAAACAGACTGGATGAGAATATTCATCAACTAATACCATGGTAATGTCATATACCAAAGCACTCCAAAGCTCAGTGGCTTATAACAAGCTTTTATTCTCATAGATTAAAGACTGGCTGAAGTTCAAGAGACCTAGGGTAGCTAAACTAGGATATTCTGCTTCAGGCTGCAGTTTGGTTGAGCTTGGATCCAAAGAGTAGATTCAGTTGAAATCAGTTTCACTTAACAAGGACCCAACCTGATCCTGTAGCAGCTACTTCAGGCAAGTTCTTCTCATGACATATCAAAGAACWAAAGGAAAGCTAATGCCCACAAGCACATAAACTTTTGTTTGTTTCACACCTGCTAACATTATATAGACCAAATTAAGTAACATGGCAAATTCAAAAGAGTTTGAGGGATATTTTAATAATTCAAATGAGAATTAATAATGGCTGGATCCAAAGTAATAGCAAAAGCAGCAGTRAAAAGTAATCAGATTCTGAATATATTCTGAAATACCACCAATTAGATTTCCTGATGTATTAAATTAGGGTATGAAAAAAGAAAAAATTAAGAATAGCACTGACGATTTTATCCTAAACAACTCAGATAAARCTAGCATTAATGAGTTGGGAAGGCTGAGGATGGATAAATATTGGAAAGAAAATTAGAATTTCAGTTTCAGATGTGAGTTTGAGGTATGTATCAGACATTCAAATGGAGTTGCCAAAAGATAACTGGATTTACAAATCTGGAGTTATGGAATGACATCTAGGCTAGAGATAAAAATTTAAAAGTTACAAACATATAAGAAGCATTTAGAGCCATAAGATTGCTGAATATAGACAGACAAAAGAAGAGATCTGAAAATTGAGCCTGAGGGATTCCAAGAAGAAGGAATCAGAAAAGAGACTAAGGAGGTAAAGAAAAAATAGAACTGGATGAGAATGGTATCCTGGAAGTCAAGTAAAAAATGTGGCTAGTATACCATGTGAGATAATAACTGAGAATTTACTACTTAAACTTAACTAAAAGGAAATTATCGGTGATCTCACAAGAGCAATTTTGGTGATATGAWGAAGGCAAAAGACTGAATAGAAGGAGACTGAGAAAAAGTGGAAAGAGAAAAACTGAAGTATTAAGACGACTCTTCTAAGGAATTTTACTGCAAAGGGGAWTAAAGAGAGAGGTATCCAGAACCAAAGTCAAATCTGATCAAGTCAGAACCTTGTAAATAATCCTGTGGGGTTTTGTTTTTTCTTTTTGCACTGCACTCACAATTACAACATTTTCTTGGAAAGTTGGGAGGAGATGGTAAATGGCCCAAAGATCCTCCTGCTCATGTGTTTCATACTACAATAATATCCATTTTTATGCACAAGGCAGTGGTGCCCCATCCACAYTGTAATGAGGTACCACACTAGAAGTAGAAAAATAAGTTAGGATGCTTTCCAAAACCTCAGGTAGTAACAGCAGCACAAAGAAGTGAACAAAACTGTTAAATACTGGGCCAGGGATGTAGTTCAGTGGGAGAATGTTTGTCTAGCAAGCATAAGTCCCTGGTATGTCCCCAGAATGACAAAAAAAGAAAAAGGAAAAGGAAAATAAACCCCCCTCCTGCCCCCCCCCACACACACAGGTAAATATTAAAAAAGCAGAAGTAACAGACTAAATATGAGGAATAAGGGGGGGAAAGAGATGAAAAGAGCTGGGCCCCTGCATGGCTTCATGCAAAATGAAAACCGTCGACCTGCTCATACCCTCTTCCTCAGATTTCTAAGCCAACCTAAATTGGATCATGGTAAGAATGAGAAATAACTTTTATTRTACTAAACTACTGAAATGTTAAAGACATTTATTACAGCAGTTAGCCTGTTCCAACTAATACAAGTGGCCACTATAAAGAGGTGAATTGCTTGCTAATCAATCAGACATGGTTACCAGACTTCATTTTCTGGGGAATACTATAATAYGGTTGTATCTGCAATACTAAGATGGAATTTTAATCAAGTATTCATGTAATATATACTTTGAAAAATAATATGCTAATAGGATCGAAAAATATGTAAACCAGAAGAGGGACTCCCAGTAAATAGGAATTTGTTAGTAAGTCTATTCATAGCTGAATAGCAGCTGCCCTTTGGYTATGCATGTATTAAATATCCTGAAAAAGAAAAATGATACATCAGGCCATCTTAGTTTTATAACTCTTACCACTAACTTCCATCGTTCAGATTCAATACTCATCAAGCAAATTCTATTTTAGATTTGTAGATTTTACTATGGGAGGGGAATAAATTGGTAGTAGACTTGGAGTATCTGGTTTTCTTGATGGTGATATGCCTTATCATAACAGACATCAATGTCTTGTGAACATTATTAGTGCAGCTCAGCTGCATTGAGCCTACTCTACTTTKAAGACACTGAAAGAAAAATCAGCACTCATTTCAAAACTACATAACACATCTTATAGTGTTACTATTACATGTAATGAATTTGTAAGGTTCAAATTGAGTAGGTAGCTATACTCAACAGATGATTTTCTTAGTTGTATTTTAACCTAGATATCTTGGAYTAACACTTAATACACTGTTATTTGTAGTGTTTTAGGCAGAAATATTTATTTGTAGTTTAGACASTGACTACACCATACTTAAATACATTGAAAGTAATTCCTTTAAACAATTTTAACTTTGCTAATGAGAAATTCTGAAACCCAAGATTAAGTGATTGGTTTAGGATTACACAGCAGGACAGAATCAAAACCTCACTAACTCAATGAACTAGGGTCGAAAGAGAAAAGAAAAAAGGATTCTAAGCTCAAAGGATTCTGAAAGAAGTTGTAGAAAGAGCAAAACAGKGGTTACTTCTTGATACAATATAAACAGGTGCCATCAAATAAAATGCAACCATATACAGTTATAAGGTAAAAATAAATTCTGATTTTAGTACAAAGCAAGAATAAAAGAATAGGATGTAAGTTTTACTGTAATCAATATAAAACTCAAGCATAAAAGTCCTTTAAACAGAGAACATTAAATCCATTTGTCTTATTATTCCAAAATGAAAACTTTGAATTCTGTTTAACATTATTATTCAATATCCATATCCATTACAAAGAATTAGTCAAGTTCAAACTGCTCTTAATGTGAAAATGAATAATAACCATTTTTGTGTTTCTGATATAATAGGCATACAATACCTAYCTGTATTCTAGAAATCTCCCAAATTTTGAAAACAGTATTTTTTATAATTCATTTCATAGTTCATTTGATAAACTTATTGCCCCTACTCAACAAGGCATGAGACAATTTATTGTCTTATTCTACACAGTGAATTTAGCTCTTTCTTCATTGGTGAATTACATTTATAAAAACATATGTATACTTAAAAAAACAGAGACTCTGAAACAAGTAAAAACATAAACATTACATCTGCAAGATTTCCCCATAAATTAACTCTTCATTCTGTGATATCAATATATTACATAGACAAATAATCTAAAATATTAGGTATCAGTAATGGTACTTACACATTTCGGCAAGATATAGGCTTGTGAAAACCAACTTCATTTCCAGTAAAATGTGTTTCATTGCCACTGAAATCCTTACAAGTTATATTGGGTGCTGGAAAACATGAAACTAAAGGCAGAAAAAAAAAATCCAAAAAAAAATTACTTCTTTTTATGTAATAAAGGTATGTAATATTTCCCCCTAATATTTGCAAAGCACACAAGAAAATTCAACAAACTACCTTCCAATGTAACGTCTGACAGGAGAGTTTAATTTAGATAGGAAAAATTACAAAAAAAAAAAAGAAAGAAAGAAAATATATATATGTATATATAAAATAAATAAAATGATAGAGTGGTCTCAACACAAATATGAAAACTGTCACTATGTTATACAAGGTCCATCTAGTCCAATCTCTTGCCTCTGACAAACATRACAAAGGAAGAATTGCACAGTATTATTTGCGTTTTACTTCATCTCTAGGATAAAGAATATTTCTTGGGGCTGGGGATGTGGCTCAAGCGGTAGC